AATTATATTACATATATTATGTATTATTATAATAGAAATAAACTTTATTTATGTAATTATACAATGCCCTCTTGTCATACGATTAGAATCAATATTAGAAGCATTAATCGTCAATTGTACTAATGTTTGAAAAGATTATTCATAATCTTTAATCATCAACGTAATTAGGATTCGTTAAATTGTGTTTCGTGTACGGAATTGGTTTTCCGACTTGTGTCAAAGTAAAATCCCGTCGTTCCATTTCCACGGTGTGAAAACAAAAATGTTTTTCTGCCCTCCGCTCGTGTTCCCTGCAAGCCACCAAGTCGATACGGAAGGAAAACAATTTGTCAACGAGACATTTCCGTCGTGATATCGAGCTCTCTTTCCGATTTCTCCGACTTCTTGCCACTGTACAATTGTACAATAATTTAATATTATCAGCACCGTGGCCTTGTTTCATTCTTGTTTCAATACGATGATCGTATAATAAACATTCTCAATGCGACTCTATCCGAGGGTTACTATTTACTATAACACACGAATTATTACAGAAATTTCGTATCTAGAACCTGATAAGTATCCTTTTCGATTATTTTCTTATTTTTCAATTTCGTAAACAATTTATCCACCTATTCATTTTTACGTTGATTTTGATAGGAAATTGAAACACCTTCTGTTCAAATAATTCGAAATATTTTCATTGTTGTACATAATTGAAAATTTGATATTCTTTAAGAAATATAGAAAAAAAGTAAATATGATTGGGTGAAATACCCAATTATAAATGTTACAAGTGCTTCAGTTTTGAAATACCATGAATCATAAAAAATGAGACGAATTGTACAGTTTCTAATTATAAGTGTCTATATTGAACGAAACTATAAATTATTAGGGTATTTATGTACTGATACAGGTGACATTGACAGAATTAAATAATTAGGAGGTTATAGAAAAATATAAAAAGGCATTGTACAAAATAAAGCAGATAAGTGGGTTTGTGACAGCCTCAAAGATCGATCTACTACTAATTAGTTACAGTTACTTAATACAGAAGCGTGACTCAAGAGAAATAGATTTAGTCGATACAAGGTACTCAAGTTTCTTTCATCACTAAGATTAATAGGTTTACGTAAGTACCTTACTATAATATAACAATTATCGGAAACAATTTTGATTAAGTGCGTTATATTCTTGCGTGAAAAGTAACTGTAGTAATTAGGTCATCCCATAATTTCGTGCCGAAAGCGAAAAATATTTTAACGAAAGTTTTACGAAAAAAAAAAAATTGGAAAAAATTGCAGAATGAGAAGGCGCTTACCTTTTCGTTTTAACGAATTTAAAGGTTCGTTGGAAATATCGATCTAAATTATAAAATTCGACACGAACTTATGGGATGACCTAATACATATGTTATCCAACGATTTGTCAAATACGGAATTTCGAAAGCGTCTACCTGAATGATCATTTTAAATTAGTTAAAGAAAGCAGGATCGTGAGCTTGATTGAATGAAAAGCGAATTACACCTAACAGGTGAACCTATCAGGATCCTCTTCGAACAATCTATTTCAGCAAATACCATCGGTAGAATTCAAAGTCCACATATCGTTCCACGGGTGAGTACACATCGAATCCTATCCTACTATCGTACAATCTGTAGTGGAAATTCAAGCTAATACTACCACCGAACCACTCAGCTATTCTAGCAAAGCATTTTATCTTCCTTGATGAAAACGATCATTGTAATTGTTTCGATTATCCAGGTACACGAAAACAGCAACGTGTACGAAATTTATTAGGGTAGACCGAGGCGGATCGAATCATTTTCTGTTTACATAACAGTCAAAATTTAGAAAGTTAATTTTGACAAATTCGTAATTAGTGCCCATTTAACTTGAACATTAATAGTAAAAACTTTTTTAAAAAATTAGAAATCTTTCTTTTGCAAACAGAAAACGAAAAAGTGAGAAATATCCGCAATTGGGGCGAATTGGATAACCCAAAAAGGCACAAATTTTCATAAAAAAAATCTTAGAATTAATTTAAAAAAATGTAATTCAGTGACACTGACCCTACTTGGCACTAGCTCGCAAGTATGTTATCCTTTAACACCGTCTCTATCAGTACGATTCTCGTGACACCACTCTTCACAGATACTGCCAATCTTCTGAAGGTGGATGGATAAATTTTTCATCACAGTAAATACAATGCCACTCTTATCATATTTGTAATCGTCAAAATATTTAAGGGAATTTCATAAAATATTTAAGTGAAAATTGCACTTATTGGACGATTAGTTGTGCACGTGAGAGGCACGGGCATGTGCATTAAGGGGTTGATACGTCCAATTAATTGACGATAAACTATTTGATCCAAAACTATTTGCAAAACACAATTAATGAATAAGTAACAAAAGAAAAGATTGTACAATAAATATTACCTGCGACATCATTACACTTTTCTACAATAATCTTCCCTTCGAACGAATGCAGTGTAATGGGGATGGCGAATCTGCCTTCTTACCGCTTGTTTGGTCAAACAGCACACTCCAGTACACGAGAATGACCATATTTAAATTTTTACATCTTCAGATGGAACTTATTTTATTTAGGAACATTCATTTCAAATTTATATTTTACATAATTAAATTGTAACGAATAATTTATATAATAATAAAAATTGATTTAGGTAATAAATTTTGATGCAAATTGCACAATTAAAGTGTTATCACAAGAAGTGTGATAGAAAACACCAAGCGTTCATTTCGAATTATTTGCCAATTTTTTTTTTCAATATTCTTTTAAATAGAAAGTGACATTTATGTGGTTACAAAAGTACACGCTTTTTTAATCTGAAAATCATCTTTAAGCAAATAATTGGCTTCTTCGTTATAATTTCCTAATTATAAACTATATTTAAAAAACCGCGAAAGTAAAGTTAAATGAAACAAATTTTAAGACACTGATAAACTTTGTGTATTATATTACTTTTAATCATTTCAAAGGAATCAGTGCATTGCATAAAACTAAGTAATTATTTTATTCCATTTTACGCCCTATTTGAAATTATTTCAGTGATTTTAAACACGAAAAAATGTAAATTATTTACAGTTTGTAATTTTATAGCGTTCTCTCAATTTCAAATTAAAAGAAATTTTATAGTCTTCCTTTAAAATTCTAAAGTACTGTTGTAAATTTAACGCGTTTTCTATTATTGCCTGGATAAAGGATTCGACGATCAAACAAAAATGAAGATACAGAATAATATTATTCACGGTGGGCCAATAGATGTACCGAATATTTCTGTGGGTCAACATTTGTTGGAGCATTTACACGCTAATGCTCATCGCATACTTCAGGTAAGTTAAAAAATATATTTTCGATAACTGAAAATTGGCAACATTTATGAATTTTTCTCTGTGAGAAACTGATAAGTCTGCAAATGTTGTTTGGTATAATTACATATCAATATTTTATAAACATTTTCACACCGTTAGATTACAAAATGAACAAAACTTATTAAAATGGAACTTTCAGTATTCATCATTTCCACAATTAACATTATTACGTGCGTTTTAGTGAAAAAACATTTGAATAAAAAACAAATCTTTTTCTATTTATTTGAAGTCGCATCAACCACTAAAGTTGGGTTATTAGCGACTCAGACTATGGAACGGATTTTATAATTTTTGGAGGAGATTTGTATTTTTTTTTTAATGTTGATAGCTGACGAGTCCTCTTCTTGTCATTTACGTAAAAAACAAATCTTCTTTTCATCTATTTTGTCAAATCTTATTGTCAATTTTTAGAAACCAAATATGAAGAGATCCGTTGGAAAAAATTAATTTTTAACAAAATCTTTTCTGACATAAGCAATAATATTATGTACTAAAACATATGTAGTGCCATTTAAAAAAATGAAGATGACCATTTTTCACGAACAAATTTCTTTTTTGAATTTTTTTCCATTGCATTTTGTAGCCGACTGAAAACTAATTAATTTCTATTTAAATATTTTTTTTTATCTGGCTACCGGAAGCGCCCGAAAAATCGTGGCGACTGTTACGTGGGACACCCTGTATATTACTGTAATTATAATATGTGTATCATTTGAACGCTAACATATTAGATAGATGCCGAAACTGGGAAACAATTTACGTACAATGATATTCTTAAGAAAAGCACTACATTAGCCACTGTTTTGAAAAATGATGGAATCGCCATCGAAGATAGAATCTCCACCGCAACTGAAAATCATCCAAATTTCGTGGTAGCGATGTGTAGCACATTATTTATTGGAGCCACGTTTACACCTTTGAATCCAGTGTACACAGAAAGTAAGTAGAACATTGTTTGAACAATTGCTCAAATACTAGAACGACGTGATGATCTGATATTAGGTTGGTACATATGAAAATGTGTTTCTTAAAAAAGTAACGTATTTAATCAAAATAATTTCCACACGATTCTATACACTTTTTTCAACGATTGACCAATTTCATTATTCCAAATATATAAAAATCATGTTTTTGAATTTAAAAATTCTTCGTATACCATTTTTACAGTGTAATTTATTTGTTAAAAAAGAATTGTTGAGTTGTTTGAAGAAATGATTGTCTGGAAAGGTCCAGTAAATAGGGGAGGACGCGGCAAAATTTCATATTTTTTACCGTGGATTGTTTTCAATCATTTTTCGTAAAATGTCGTCATCGACGGTTTTATCGGGCCTTCGTTTTACCTCATTTCCAATGAAAAGTCACCAATCTTCAATATTGCACACCACCGTTCACGTGTCCTAATATTTACATAAGCTTCTTCAAATACTAAATTTACATTTTTAACAGTTTTTATCGTAGGTTTGCCAAGTTTAAACTTATACAAAAAAAATTACATTCTGATTATTCTTCACGTCAAATAATAATGTCCACACAATTGTATTATGAATTTGTTTACTATTTAATATACGTATACTACAGAAAATTCCTTTTACTTGATTATTCTGCATAAAAATTTGTGATCAGACAAAATTTCTGCTATTGAAAAAACGTCATTTCAGTTGCACCAACCTAATAATAGAAAGATCATCTGGAAATGTAATATCAAAAAGGTAGCTTCTAAAAAATTTGTCCAATTGAAAAAATAAACAAATAGTAAAATATATATTTAGTTCATGAATAACTTTAATTATGTTTGTTGAGCTACTCAAAGAATTCCGTAATCACCAGAAAAAGAAAAAGTGAAGTTAGCTACCCTCAATTTAAAATCTAAGTTTCACTATACATTTTCAGTATTAATTACAAAACAATTAGTAAAAATACTATTAATTTAAATATCTAATTATTATTAGAAACGAATTATAGAGTATGGTTGCTAAACTAAAACATGAAAGTATTGAAATTAGTAATTATTTTATCGTAATTTATGTCTAGTATTTTCAATATTTTTATTACAGGGGAATACAGACACATGTTGGAAATTTTTCAACCACGAGTGATATTCGTATCTCAACGTACTGAAAAGCTTCTTGCAAAAATAGTATCCACTTTGAATTGGACCACGAAGCTAATAAGTCTGGACGATAAAACTTCCGATAAAAACATAGTAACGTTAAAGGAACTTCTAGAGAAATCTAATGATACAGCGAATTCGTGCACGTTTGTAGCAACACCAATAGACGATAGTGCCAAGAAAACAAGTGCTATTTTATGCTCCAGTGGTACAACGGGACTTCCAAAAGGTGTGATGTTGTCACATCGAAATTTATTACTTTTCATTAAAAATATGAGGTACATGAAACAAAATTATTATACATAGTTAAATCTTCAAGATACTATTTTGTATACGAAAGTTTCAGAATGTCGATGAACAAAACATAACATGAAATTACCAATTGTACCTCTTTTTTTTGCGTGGGGGAAATCCTAATGGACACCCCGCCTCTTGGGGGAGGGAGACGGGGTAGTGCCGATCTCTTACCGGGTAAAACCCCCACGGTGGTCCTTCCCCGGCGTTGTGGGGTGGGCCCGGGATCTCATGACGAACGCAACCGGACCCACCCCACGCCTGGCCCCTTCCTCAGATGTTTGCAACGCGTGCAATGGTCGCCGAGTTTCCCCGCCCCCAATTAAGGGGGTGGGGCTTCCCCGTGTGGGTCGCCATCTCCTCGGGGTCGTAAAATTTCGTACCACAGACAACCCGAGGGTTGACCACGGCCCCTGAGGAAATACCAAGTGTACTTAAAAAAAAAACAGTTCAACCATTAAAATTAAATTAAAATTAAGGAATATTCGTATAAGTGTCCTGGGGTCGTAAAATTTCGTACCGCAGACAACCCGAGGGTTGACCACGGCCCCTGAGGAAATACCAAGTGTACTTAAAAAAAAACAGTTCAACCATTAAAATTAAATTAAAATTAAGGAATATTCGTATAAGTGTCCTGTATCCAAATTAGTTGTATCATATCTGTAGTGTTTAATTTCCTAATTTTTAATTATGTAATAATCCCTCCCTTGGATTATATTTAACTTAAGTTTCTTTCTGATTTTTGATCAAAGAATTGTGATAGACATTCAACAAGGAGATCGAGCAATACTCTTTTTACCAATGTTTCACGGCTACGCCTTTGGATTGATAAACTTAGTAATATGTGCCGGTGCAGCCATCTGTACAATGCGAAGTTTCGAAATCGAAAAATTTCTAAGATTGACTGAAAAATACAGAATCACGCATTTACCATTGGTCCCTCCAATTTTGGTAACACTGGCGAAACATCCAACAGTGACAAACTACGACTACGGCAGCGTGAGACAGGTACTGTGCGGCGCGGCACCACTTCCAAAGAATGTAAGTTTTTCGTCCAAGTTTGTTAAGGTCGCGAAAGTTATCGTAACACTCGGTAGTGTGAAACTAAATTGTAAAGTACAAAAGAGAATTCTCGTCCTTTTTCCTTTACTGGTAGAATCAACCAGAGAAAGATTTTAATACAATAGCCAGTGACAAAAATCTAGTTACCGCGGATTTTTATCACGTACAAGCATTCCGTAGTATACAAGTTATGCATAAGTTACACAAATATGGACTATGTGTAATTTTTGTTTTAACTTTTATACGAAGACTGGGTCAATTTGACGGAAAATCAACTTACAAATTCTTTCTCCTCTGTTACTAAATGTATCGTTTGGACTGAAACTTTTTCCTTTACAAGAAAGGAACAAAATTTGTACAGTTTTTTTTAATGTAAATCAATTATATTTGTCGTGCATACTTATGGGATTTATGGGTCAATTTGACCAAGAACGTGATACAAACGTGACCAGAAATAACGCTGTTATAACTCCAACTCGTCATATGTGGATGTTTATTCAAACGTCTTTTCAATCGTTCGAGTTTAATTGTAAAATTGACAGGTAAAGTCTCGCACTGATATTATTACTTTTCTTATGAGAAAAAGAAACTACTCCTTATACAGAATGTTTTTGCATACGTCACCAAAAATTTATCAGTCAACTTTAAAGATAACTTCGAATATAAAATGTGATATAACATGTCATGTAACATTTTCCTTGAAAATTAATAGTTAAGAACATACTGCCAATGCAAGTTAGTAAATGTTATGTTTCTAAATAAAATAACGGAAATATTGCTTATTTACTACCTTTTACGTTGCAATTATACAACGCTGAATCAATTCCAATGAGGTGTACGGAGACTTTTTTAAATGACAATCACTGTATCTACCTGTTTCAGGTAGCTGACGAAGTAAAGAGGCGCATGAAAGTGAAACATATCCGAAACGGTTACGGCATGACGGAATTATCAATAATAACAAACATAAGCGATGGGACAACTAGTGACGATACTGTGGGTCCTATAGTACCTGGTTTTAAATGTAAGGTGGTAGATACGACAAGTGGCAAAATACTTGCTCCAGGGGAAATTGGAGAAATTTGTTTCGCCGGTGAACAATTAATGTTGGGATACTATAAAAACCCTAAGACCACTGCGGAAACAATTGACAAAGAAAATTGGCTGCATACCGGTGATTTGGGATACTTCAACGAAGAAGGATTACTTTACATTACAGGCCGAATAAAAGAACTTATTAAATATAAAGGTTACCAAGTTTCACCGTCAGAGATCGAATCGGTGATACTGAAACATCCAAGTGTTAAAGATGCAGCAGTGATGGGTATACCTGATGAACTCAGTGGAGAATTACCCATGGCCTTAGTAGTAAGGCAACCTGGTAGCAATATATCGTCGAAAGAAATCGTGGATTTTACTAATAGTAAGTTTTTCTCTCTCTTTAGTTCGTGAAATTAGGATTATTTAGTCAATAAAATGACATTTATTCACAACACAGGTTTTATTATAATAACGATGAAATGTAATGTTCGAGTAGTTCTAGTTTACTCTAAACTACATGTAGCCAACTCGCGCCCCGTGACTTCTTTAGTTTGGTCCGCGATCCGTCCCTGCGAAGTCTTTAAATCCAACCCTTTTTTTTCGTTCAACGTGGAGGAAATCTTCCGAAAGACACTTCCGTCACCCCGGGGGAGGGGACGGTGGTAGTATGGGATTTTTACCCACTAAAACCTCCGCGGTGATCCTCGTCGGGCACGTTAGAGAGGGCCCCGGGAACTTGGTACTCTTTCCACAGCCCCACCCCCTGTGTCTTACGCCCCGACCTCGGGGGGAGGTACTCGTACGTCACCTCCCCCATTACTCCGCCCGTAGGCTCGGCGGTGCCAGGGGGTCACGCCCGACACCGCCCCTTCCCTAGGGGACCGCCTTCGAAGGGGCCAGGCCCCCGCCTGACCTTCTATGATGTCCAGTAATTGCATAGCCAAGTTTTCGATGTGATTCTTCAGCCGTTGTTGATATAACCTGCTGTGCCTGGTGATTTCTTCTCTTACAGTGGGTATACTGTAGGATGTGAATAAGAATGTTGAGTGAGGTGTGAACGAAGAGTGTTTGGGCCGTAGGACAGTCGGGTCGATTGAGGTGCGAGTGAAGAGTGTTTGAACCGAGTGATTCAGAATGAAAATACATGCGTGATAAGAGCGATGTCTTGACCGAAAATCGGCACGTGGCAAGACTGTCTGTATACGTGTACATCGCTGTGATCGAGCGTGACCGTGTATGAGTGAGTATGAAAGACAAGACCGAAGAGAGAAAAAGGGATTGTAAGAGCGAATGTAAAAGACGAAGGGTGTTCAAAAATAAAAACTATCTTCTTATCAAACAACAAACACCACTTAAATAATATCCCTACAATACCAGTTTCTTTATTTATTTGCTTATTCGGGATACATCATTCTGCACTCAAAGTGGCTCTCAGTTTTTTTTATTTTGCCATCTCTCTATTGACCTTATATTTAAGTTCGAGGCTGTGCCCCATAATTGACAGGCGTACGTCCATATCGGTTTGGGAATAGTTTTATATATCAGCAGTTTGTTGTAGATTGTGCCCTATTTCTACGATTGCACTTAAAAAGGTGAGCCTATGGCGATATAACCCAATCAGACCCGCATTCCTTATGTTTGTCAACTTCTCATCTCTGCATGGTATTTACAAAACAGTGAAATACTCGATCAAACAGAAAGACTCGCCTGAGAATCAGGTCAAGCATACAATTCAAACGAGAGTCCCATTTCGATTAGGGTAATCATGATTAATTTCACATCAGCCAACGTCTCACGATACCATCGCGACCAAACGTAAACCAGATTTACGACCCCGTGAAATTCGAAATAAAGAATTGTGATGTGCGGGATGCAACAAAGCTTTAAGTTCAATCAGTTCAATACAATATTTAATTGCTAATTTTAATCGTTAATTTGTTTTACGTTGCACGTTCTTTGCAAAACTATCCTTAAAATTTTCTGTAAATTTTTCTGGGATTTTCTAAGGTTAGGTAAAAGGATATTTCACACTTTACGGTACTCGTTGTTCGCTTGTCTTTCTTATTCATCCTTGGTATTTATTCGTTCGTCTAACCTTGTTTATTATTTATGAATAAATATAAATAATTGTGGAATAATAACAGGTGTAGACAATAAAAGATAATTGTAACCACTTCTGAAATTATTTATTCAGTAAACAATTTAGGAGTTTTACGAATATTTTAGTAATTTAATATTTTGACATTTTCGACGTAAAGTGCACAACGCTGCAATAAATGAAAGTGAAGTGAAAAATATGGAAGCAAAAGTATTTCGAATATGCTATATGTCTATAAATATTGTGGCAATTTATTGGCAATATCAAATTAATTACGTGAATTTGGTAAAATTTATGGACTTATGAAAAAATTTTCTAGGTTATTTGTCACCACAAAAGAGGCTAAGGGGCGGTGTTAAATTTGTCGCAAGTATACCCAAAACACCATCAGGAAAAATTGTACGACGGGAACTTCCTATTTTATCTAAATTGTAAACAAGTTTCTGTTACTTACTCCAATTATTATAGTCAAAAGTTTGTAAACATTTATTAAAATGTATATAAAGAATGAACATATTTTACAAAAGTGTACTATTTATTTACAAGTTTGAACCTATAAATTTTAACACTAGAACTACCGACCGGGTCAAAATGGACCCATTAGTATCTTTTAAAAAAACGTGAATGTTCAGTACTGGTAAGTATCATCGTTTGTAACTTTCCGAATTTATTTTCTACATATATGCTTCTGTTTGTATCGATATGAATCGAATTTTCCAATCACGGTTTATGTTAATGCCCTTGTAGATGTCTGCACGATGTTGTGCCGTCTAGATACTGGTTCGAAGGACCACCCAATATGATTGGGACTTGTAGATTGACCTGGTTGCTTCCTGGTTCTCCTTGTGGTGGTTCTCTGACTACTCGACGACTGACCCTCCGACGTCGCGTCTCGGACGTCCGTGAGAGGAAATTTGTTAGGACACGCTGGTTGGTTAATGGTGAACAATTGCATTTGCCAATCAGCGTGTCTAGTATCATCTTCACCTCCCTTCCATTGCGCCCTTAGAGCGTTGTTACCTTGGAAGGGTGGGAGACGGTCGCGAGGGGTGGACGGAAAGTCCCAAAAATCTGGAATTTCCTCCGGGTGACTAATCGGCAAGCGGACCGTTGCATACAGATGTGCCGTTCGGAAATTCGTGGTCTATGGTATGTTCGTAGGCTATTGAGCGCGAGAGACCCTCGGAGGAGGTAATGAGACCCGTGCAAGCAATAAACGAAAATCCTCAATTCAAAAATAACCGTTCCCGGTCGATCGTGCCATAAACCGTTTCTACAGAAAACCTAACACTGAGGATTACTAAATGTAATTAATCTGTAACAGATTAGTTTTTGTTACCTGATACGGTATTAAAACAGAAAATGGCTGACGCTTAAATGCATACTCAGAAAAAAATCATAGGTTAAGGGGTTAATTCGGCGGGTAATTGTGCGATGGAGAGTTTATAATTCGGAACGCAGCGTGCACAACAGGGTACTTTACCGGTAATTCGCATTTACAGATTAAAATTGGACACCCTGTCCCTGAAGAGGTGTACATAGAGACAGGATAAGCGGAAAAGGAAGATGTGCTTCGTCCTGGGCCTCCTAGTGGACTCGTCAGTACGACTCCCTAGGAGACCCGTTGCTTCAGATGCATTTTTTTTTATATAAAATCCTCTTAGTGGGGGAATTGTAGAGCCACCTAAATCATTTTTAACATTTCCTTGAATAAGAAAATTTGAAACGCTGCATCTTAAAATTGAAATCATTTGCTGAACTATATTTATATGATATATTTTTACACTACTGTGAGTAGAATAAACGCATAAAGTTTGAACCCCTATTTTAGAAATACTCTGCACATGACACGGATGCATTAATTACACAAATTTCAATCATTACTAACCACTCTTGTGTATTGTGAGGTATAAGAATCCAGTTACATATTTGACTATACCGGGTGTCGCAGTTTGTTTGGATCAAACTTCGTCAGTATATTCTACGGGTCTAAGTAAGAAGAAAATGTTATATAAACATAGGTCGTTTGAAGCTTTGTTAAAAAGTTATAACAAAAATACGAAATATGAAGGAAATGGTAACGAATTTGTCGATACAAGACAAGAATGGCACTAACAAAAGTTACATTCAACACCTTCAACGATCTCTGATCATAAACACAGCTTTGCGTAAACAGACTGGATGTACATATTGCTGATCTATTCTTAGTTTGTGCCATAACCTCACATATCATTCTCTTCCTATTTCGTATTACTGCTTTAACTTTTTAATAAAGCTTCAAATGACCTATGTTTATACGACATTTCTTTCTCACTTATACCCGTAGAATATACTGACAAAGTTTGATCGGAAAAAACTAGGACACCCTATATGTACTTGTCGACAATACGTACACTACCGGCCAAAAGTTTGGAATCACCGAGCATTGCAATTTACACAAAAGTTTCCAGAAAAAAGTCAGAGACTTTGAGAATTTTTTATCATTCGAATCAATTGTTACACATAAAAATTGTAGAATAATTCTCGACGTTACCTTTTTGCATAAATTAATAAGTAATAATACTGATTGTACATCATTACTTGGATCTGTAAATCTCTACGCACCATCTAGACATTTAAGAAGTAGAGCGACTTTTCACATTCCAACGCACAAATCGAAATACAGTATATCTGACCCAGTAAATCGCATTTCTACTTTATACAATTCCCTTATGCATGAAGTAAACCTTTTTAATGTATCACTAGCCACCCTCCAAAGGAATCTTCAACAAGTCCTTAGAATGGCTCAAGTATAATAGACGTAGATTAATATTGTATAAATGTGCATGTACTAGCTGTATAAGTTTGTAAAAAAGGGCATAGCTCCAATCTATCTGAGATGAATTCAAATCTATAAAAAATTAGCAGCAGATTTAATATTGATGAAAAGTGGGAGGTGGTTCCAAACTTTTGGCCGGTACTGTATATATCATGCACTTTCCCTGAACGAATTTAATTTCTACTGCTAAATAAACATTTTTTAACATTTTGCACCGCTAGTTGTGAATATTTTTTTTAGAAGAGAACTAATCGTAAGGTTCTGGAATTACAAATGATAAGTTGAAAAAGTTGATCGTAATTTTGACTTACATACTGCGCAACAATGATAGTACCTAATATGTGGCATTTGTCAGAGTTTGCAGCACGATGATATTCTTCTATTTTTATTCGAATGCCTTTACTGTGCCATTTGTCAATATCTATCTAAGTTTTCACCCCATAATATTGTAAATTGAATATGTTAGACCAGCAAATAGAAACACGAATGAAATATAGAAAGTAGGTGATGCTCAAAATAAACCTGAAACTTTATTGTAACCTTTGAAATTTCTGTCATCCTATCTTTCAAATTGTTTTACAAATGTGTACAAAACATATGTGTCCCTTACAAATTGTTCAAAAATATCAGGACTACCATCTTCAATAAGAACAATTCACAGAAGCTAAACTTATGCATAAATTGCATTCATGCAACAAAAATTTTAATTATACACATTTTATTACATTTTACATACTTAGTTAAATTACAATTGTAGTTCACTGCAGAAAAAATGTAAAAATTTAATAAATAGATTAACATACTATTTATTGTGAACCTAATGCTTCTTTTTACCTATGGATCGAAACTGAACGAAAAGTTGAAGTTACTATTACTCGAGAGAATCTTTTCAATTTCTTTACTCTAAACATTTGGCTAATAGCAACGAAGTCTTCTAAGTCTCGAAGAAACGAAACAACTAAAAAAAAATATCGTGACGTAGAAACTATCATTGATAAGTGGACCGATAATTGGTCGTTCTCTTAGCAGAGCAGTCAGAACGATCGCGTTATCTTCGTTAACGAGAAAGTGCGATAGGAATTTCTAGCAGTTTTACCGGATCAACGGAATTAGCGGTATCCGGTATTGGAAAAATTTAAATTTCACGCTGCCGACTCTACGGTGAGACCACCCATCTACATGACTATATGTGTACGCCTATACAGGGTGTCCCGTGAATCTCTGTTGACATATTTAAACGCTTGACAATTTTCATGTGTTCTCCTGTTAAAAATGCGTTCTGGTACCTATAAAAATACGATAATTATCTTTTCTGTATTTACATTTAACAACGTCTAAGCAAATTGTGAATTGCATAAAAATTATTCGATAGTTGCAAAATTCTGTTAATGCTTATAAGCTCCATTCGCTTCTGCCTTTCAAACGAAGAAGTTTTTAATCGCTTCAAGAGTGACTGGATTTTTTTACTAAATACATCAGAGTGCGCCTAACTATCTTCACTTCTAATGCTCCAGGTATGTGTATACACTATGGCTCATAAGTTTAATCGCGTAATGCAAAAGTGCGGTGTAATTCAATTCGTTTCGTTCAAGTCGATGAAATTCCAGTTCCGTTTATTCAAAGTTTTCTATCGAACACAGAGTGAAGTTTATCATTCTCGCCTAATTCATTCTTTCCTATAGTTACTCTCGGTTTTACTGCATTTTAACAGACGCGATTGAACGTTTGAGCGGTATCTAGTGTATATGAAAATATGTGTTTAAAAATAACGCCGCGTATTTATCAATATTTTAAAATAGAGCGAGTAGTTTTTCCAAATATATTAAATTCCTCAAATTTCACCGCTATGTATCACATACGAAATAATATTTGACTCCTGTTAAGCAGTTAAAATATGTGGTTTTTTTAAAAGTATTTTATTAATTTGTTACAGATTCGATGTATTCAAATATTTCGAAAACGGGGAAACTTAATTGTTTCAGAAGATCTTAGAACCAGAATCAACGAAATATTCTAAGATCGCCTATTTCAAAGTAGCTAACATTTATAAATTTTGTTGATAAAAAAGTGAAATTCCGCGATGATTGATTTACAATACACCTTATACGTGAAACGAATCTGTAGAAGTACACGTATCCATCACTGGTTTTACATGTACGCGTCTATGGCTAGTGTTCCTGTTAATTTCATTACGACGATCACCCTGACAAATCTAATTGACGGGCATCAATTATTTGCCGGACGAAGGTCGCTTATCTCCCTTTCCAGTTGCCAGCTAGCGTGGTTTCTGGATAATTCATTTTTCACGATACCTTCTACCGACAGAATTTCACTCACTATCATGGAGTTATGTTGGCCATGCTTTCTAATTCCCAGAGGAGCCAGTAGTTCACATGAAACTGTAAATTAAAAGTACGTGCGCTGATATATGTATATACCTGCCTCTCAAAGTATCGACAAATTCAAAAAAATAAAATGCTTTGGAAATTATAGTACAGTGGCGCCAACTTTGAAATAATAAACTTCAGTCGAGGGAATCCACCGATGCAAACTGTTTTAGTGGAAAACACGTGCGTTTTGAAACAACGGTAAATAATGTGGCGACCGCCACGGGGGG